TAGTTACACGATCTGTAACATAAAGCAATAACTCCCTGTAGCCAGGAGATTGTCCACGGACTTGTTTAAAACTCTTACAGAAACGTGTCTTCTTGAGTGGTGTTAGTTACACGGTGTGTAAGATAAAGCAATAACTCCCTGTAGCCAGGAGATTGTCCACGGACTTGTTTAAAACTCTTACAGAAACGTGTCTTATTGAGTGGTGTTAGTTACACGGTGTGTAACATAAAGCAATAACTCCCTGTAACCAGGAGATTGTCCACTGACTTAGATTTGTTTAAAACTCTTACAGAAACGTGTCTTCTTGAGTGGTGTTAGTTACACGGTGTGTAACATAAAGCAATAACTCCCTGTAGCCAGGAGATTGTCCACTGACTTAGATTTGTTTAAACCTCTTACAGAAACGTGTCTTCTTGAGTGGTGTCAGTTACACGATCTGTAACTCCCTGTAGCCAGGAGATTGTCCACGGACTTGTTTAAAAGATCAACGCGAATTTGATCAGCTCATTTATAAAAATGTCACTAATCCAATGAAGCAAAATAAATCAGCTTGTATGAGCTTATAAAACCGACAAACATACTGGTACTAGTTTATGATGTAATTACCCCCAGTGATCTGAAACGACGCGGGTTTTTATTGACTTGCGATACGTAACGTTGTACGGTATCAAATTAAATATGAGGTGAAAGTTGTAAAACGTTGTACATAAAAATTTTAAAAAATGGCCAAAGTATTAAAATGTTTTACAAACTTCTCATTTATAAGAGCTACATATGAAGTTTGTGTGTTTCTTCGAACTGACATTTAGTGTCTTGTGTTTTCAAAGCCTTCTTGATTGACATAACCTGGAATCACATTAGTAAAAGCTTGGTTTGTGTTTCATTGTTTTCTTGGTTTCAAAGCGTAATTTGAATCCAACTGTACGAAGGTTCTGTACGCTAACACCCAGAAAGGATACACGTTTTCTCAAAGTCGTCATTGTTTGAAAGTAAAGAGTTGGTTGAAGTGGAATATAAGACATGTGCAATAACAATCCATAAAAGTGCTTTAAATATATATATATATATATCGAAGTCTTTTATTTTTGTCTTGATGAAGTTCTTTTTTTTTTTTAGGCGAATACTTAGCTGAAACTACTGTCGATTGCAAAAGTAAAAATATTAATAACTCCAACTCCAGGTTTATAATATCTGTTCTTATGTTGTATGCCTAACAGTATTATGAAAAAAAATATTTCTCTGTAACACGGGGTCATGTCTTTGTTATATTTTGATATAAAACATATTCTACGTTGGTGTAATAATGCAATATTTAACAAACTATACACAACAGTATAAAATCATCAGAAGTTTCCAACAATACTACGATTTCTAAAGTTAATATTCCATTGTTAATAAACAGTTTAAAGTTCTAAATACATTTTTTTTTAGTTTTTATACCATTCATCGTTAGATTAAAAAGAAACTTTGGGCTTAAGAAAATTATTTACAGTTTACTTCTTGATTATCATTTGATATCATCGGGGGGGGGGGAGATAATCGGTAAATCTACAGACTATGACGCAAAAATCCGGGGCTCGATTCTCCGCGGTGGACACAGCACATAGCCCAATGTGGCTTTAATAGAAAACAAGCAGTAAGCCTACATAATATGTATTTCCCCCTTGTAGTTTGGTTCAAATTATGGTCATTATTTGACTTCCCCGAAGTAGTTTTGTGATTTGATATCCTACAAAGATGAATGGTTATATCTCTCTCTGGTTGGCCTAGATTTACTTTCTGACACAGAATACAGATTTTTCTAATACTTTTCATGTTGTGTTTCATTAAAAGTAGGCATCTATTATAATAACACTGTTCTGAATATGTTCGCGTACCTAACTACCCAAATGCGCATGTGCGCGCAGTTATTTCAATGGATGCGAATGCAAATATAGTTTAATAGAGATTTTATACAACAACATATTAATTAAAAACTTATCTGTTTCTGAAAATATCTGAAGTTAGGTTGTAAAATAACATTATAAGTTTATTTACTGATAGCGTTAAATACGGTAAAATTTAACCCTATTTAAACTAAAGCGAAAAAGGTACACGAGATACTGTGTTCGTTTATTCATTGAATATAAGCCGTACTTAATAAAGGCTTAACTAATGTTAGGCCTCATACAAGTAGACTTATTGATCCTGTATTTTAAAAATGTAATACTGCAATAAAGACACTAATTTGACCGCACGTGTTTTGCGAGTCTCACTAGTTAAAAGTAATTGTATTATTTGGACTATTAATGTATATGAAAACTGAGAAATTAAAGCATTTAATATATTTGATTATATCTATCTTTGTGAAGTGTATTCAGTACACGTTAGATATTCATCAATGAACGTTGGAGCTACAAACGTAACAATATCACAAACTAGATAAAACTTTTCCGTTAATATTCGTTTCTCTCTCTCGACTTCGAACAAACTAAATAAGTCTTCATGGCGTTACCTTGGTAACGAAAAGTCAACAGTTAATGAAGAATAGCGTACAGCTTAACTTACAAACAAATATATATAAACTTTAAGATCTGAATTCGACCTGACCTTCTCAGGTCGCACACAACGATCAAAATTCCTGTCCAGACAAGACGCTTTGATAGGTTAAATGAAATAAATTCAAATAATGCATACAAAATTAACAATATCGATAGCTCGTGAATGGGCGGGTTTCTTTTAGATGAAATATTAATGATGTCTTGTTAAAACTATAACAGTGAATGTTTGCATTGGTTTTTTTTCTGACTTTGAGTTTTGTTATTAAACCTTGCTACGGTTGCAGAGATTATGTAGAAGCATCGCGACAAACAATGGGTCGGACGTAGTTTATCCTGACAAATAATACAGGGAGCGAAGATTAGGGTAACAAACATTGAGTATAAAACATATTATCATGACAAACAATAGTTAGGACGTAAATTATCATGCCACACGTTACATAAGACGTAACAAACAATGATTAGGGCGTAGTTTATCGTGACAAATAATACATAGGACGTAGTTTATCGTGACAAACATTGAGTATAAAACATTATCATGACAAACAATAGTTAGGACGTAAGTCATCGTGACAAACATTACATAGGACGTAGTTTAAGTCATCCATGTGAAGTTCATACAAGTTTCAGAGTTTGGAGCCGTGGGCGCGTTATAAGAGTGATTGTCAAATCCCATTTTTTCCATTACAGTAGACCACTAGTTGTCGGTGGGTGGTGTTGACTACCTGCCTTCCCTCTAGTCATCACTTCAAAATTAGATATGACTAGCGCAGATAGCCCTCAAGTAGCTTTTCATGAAATTCAACAACAACATACTAAATAGTTCACATTTATTGGGTTGTTGCAGCAATTCGTGCAAAACTATCCTCGTTTAGAAGTGATAGCAAGACGGGGGGCAACAATTGAACAGAATCCGCCGCCAACTTTTGGGCTACTCTATACGAAAAACGGTATTTAACACTCACGACAGCAACATGTGTCAGAAGTCTGTTTTCATTGGACATTTCCCGATCTAGTAAATTATACCGCTAGGGCAATGTCGTAGAGGTATTATTTCCTCGATAGGTGGCTAATGTACGTTTTTTGTTTTGTTGTTCGTGTTGTTATATTTTGTATCTTTGTCGCTGGATGTCCGTGTTTACAAGTACATCTATTGGTAAGCTCCGATATTTCTAATAATAAACGATTAGTGTTATGTAGTTAAAGGAGGGGGACAAGCCCCCTGAAATGTCGTCTTATTAATCTAATTTTAGATTTGATCCCATTTTATTTCTCATTGCCTGCCCTACCCCCCAGTTAAGAAAAAAACTGGAGCCGGGACTTTTTGTAGTTTTATTCAACCTTATTGGTTATAATGATGTTTAAAATATTTTGAATTAAGGTTTTGCATTTATGAATAATACTTTGCTTCGTTACACGATTTAAGGTTGATTTAAAGGTCGAGAACAAGCTTAACATCGTGAGCTATTATAGTTAACAGTTAAAATACTTAGCTGATGTTTAAAAACATTGTAATCAGTGTTTAGGTTCCTTAGATATTGATTCATAGCGTTATTAGGGGTGGCGACAGCTCATTAAAGGTCGTAAGTGGGACTATCCCCACCCCTTCCCAATACTTACCCCTAAAAAATACC